CGACTGGGGATGACTTCATATTTTGGTGTACATGAAGGTGAATGGCGGCAGCCGGCTCCTGCTTATAGAGGAAGATCTTGGGTATCTTCCGCCCTGGTACTCATATCCACTTCCTCTGTCTGGGCTGCGAAAACTTCGCTCATATGTGACTCGGCCGGAATGACTTTTTTTTGCCCCCCCCCCTGTATATGCTATCACTGTGGCAACTCTCCACATCAATGATGATAGGCCTAGAATAGCTTTGATGTCCGATGAACAGTTCGATATGTTTCTTGCCCTTGGTGGACTTCCCAGCTGGCTACTAGACTGGCCAAATCTTCATCGTAATAATAAATTTTTCGTGCTATTTCGCAGCGTATCATATGGTTCGTAATGTTGCTCTTGAAACTGAGATAATGCCCCTTAAAAACACGGTCCTGATAAACTGAGGCTATAACCTCTCAAACTAGTCAAATGATCCTCTAAGCAAGTGGGAGGCTCCGCTACATTGTTAAAATGAAATTTGTAAGCATTTCGGCCTAAACTTAACGGTTAGGCCCCTTGAGCACCCTTTAGCCCTGTACTGTCCCCCCCCCCTTGAGCACCCTTTAGCCCTGTACTGTCCCCCACTGACTACCGGTCACTAACTGTTGCCCCTCTACGAGTACTCTACTTTCTTAATGAACAGATTGGTGACACGGGAAGAGAACATATCGCTATGATAAGGACAATTGAAAATTCGAATAAACATAACTTCTCTTCGTTACGCGCACATACAGATAGTCAGGGATCTAGGTAGGACACTTCGGACGCTCTTTTTTGCTTTTTTCCCTATTACTAAGTTACTTAGAGCCTTGCGTATCGCATCTCTGTTTCATTACACTTCATCCGTGTTCGCGTGCTTCACCTCTAAGGGGAAAAGTACCGGGAAATTCGGTGCACATGTTCGAAAAGAAAACAAATGTTTATATCACCCTATTACTCACCATTATATCTCTTCTTATGAGCTTATACTTTCTCGCAGATTGCAGCGCCTGTCTATCGTAGATCTTTTTTCTTTCAAGTGAAAGAGTCCATCAATTTCTCAATGTATAACATACCCACTTTGTAGACTTATATAGAGAGCGGTATTCGAGGCCAATGAAGAGTTCTTGGAAGTTCGACCAGGAAAAATAGCTACTCGTCCATCCGCTGTTGTCGAATTGTCCTGTGGATGAACACAAACGAAATTAAAAATGAGCAAAAAGAAGATGAGATCACCTAGGAGATTTGGTCGCTGCAATAGAATTGCCGTTTTTTGCATCCATTTCGGGGCATAGCGCTTCAGCTCAAAACGCGATTCAACAATTCGTTCGAAACTCTCTAGGTAGGCCGATCAATTTCCTTGTTCAATTATTCTGCTATGCTCCGGAATGTTGCAGTTATTGCAAGGCATTCAGCAGTTTTGACCATCAACGGTGTCCTACTGCTTGAATTAAGACGTCTAAATTGGTGTCTTCATCAAATACAAAAAACCTGCTATGCGGCATGGAGTATCGGCCTCTACGAGAATCGCTTAAGAAGCTGATGAGTCCGCTATCGCGCTATGTAGCTGCTTTTGTCAATTAAAAATCCATCTGAGAGGACTTCCAGAAGTTCTTTCTTTATGCCTATAAAAT